CCAGAATGAGAAAAAATAAAACAGTAACAATGCCACAAATGTGACTACGCTGCATGGCTTACACAATGTAATGATGACCAACCCTATGTGTTTAGAAAGCAAATAACATTAGCATAGTAATTACTGTAGGGTATTTGTACATTGTGTTTAGATATGTTGCTGTGAATGGTGTAATAAAAAGCTGGACAGCCAATGGTTAGGCAGGAGAGAGAGGCAGGACTTCCAGGAAAATGAGAGCACCTGGGCATGATTCTAGCATGCAAGAGGGACACCAATGAGACACAAAGGAATTGGACATACAGAATGAGAGAAAGATAAAAAGCCATGAGGCAAAAGGTAGATTAGTATAAATGGGTTAATTTAGTTCTAAGAGTTAATGGGACAAGCTTAAGCAAGACTGAACTTTCATAATTATTTTAAAAATCTCCGTATCCTTATTTGGGGCTGGTGGCAGAAAAGATGGGTGGGTGGACAGACCAGAATGGGTGTTCTAATGCCTTGTGTTCTGAGGGAGGACTAGTATGTATGGTAAAAGTTTTTCCTAATGTTTTTATTAGTATATATTAATCATACATAATAGTAGGTTGCAATAACATTTTCATGCTTGTATATTACTTATTTCTATCATTTCCGCCCTCTTTTATTCTCTTCCAGTTCCCACAAATTTTCATCTTCTTCCTGTCCAGGTCCCCATCTACTTTCTTATTTTAATACTTGGGTTACACATGGGTGCCATGGCATAATCATGGAGTTCAGAGGACAACCACAATACAGCCCTTGCCCTCCACCTTGCTCCTAAGGAATCTCTGAGCCTAGCTCCAAGCTTTGGGAACATTATCCTGTCTGTACCTCCCCATCTTGCCATAGAACTGCTGGGATCACATATGTCTACATTCTTTACTTCTAAACCTCAGGTGGTAGGGTTTGCACAGCAAGCCACTGAACCACCTCCCACACCACACCTTTCCCCTTTTACTTTTGTGTCTGTGTGTCTGTGTGTACATGGGGGAGGGAGACAGACCCCTGAGTTTCTACGGTTATTTGCAGGAGCATTAGTAAACTACTATATGAGAAAAAGACTGAAAAACTATTAACCTAGAAATGTGTGAAAATACAGCAAGAAAGTGTGTTTAATGCAAAAGGAAGACAAGAAAGAAGGGAAATAATAAAAGAGAAATGTTGGGCCCCAGCCCCCACAGGATCTCTATGAGTGGCTGGTCAGCCAACAAGTGCACCCTGTTTTCCAGTCCAAGTGCATCCTGTTTTCTGGTCCTGGCTTCCTGCCCCAGCCTTGCTCAATGACATCAACATCCAATATGAGGAAAGCACAATCTCTTCCATCTGGGGTTTTTCCACTGTGCTGTAAGCCTGTATATAAGGTTGCTCCCTCGCTACAATAATGAAGAGACCTCTTAGCACAAACGACTGGACGTCAGTTCAATCTCCAGGCTTTCGCCTGATATATTAGACTTGCTCGTGGCACAGGCACCACAGAGAAAGCAAACAGCAGCCTTTAAAGTTCTCATTATATGACCAAGATTGTTAAACTAGATTTTTTAAATTTATATAGGCATTGTTTCAAAGACAGGAACTATTGAGTGCAAAAAACTGGAAAACATATTCCATGTAAGCTTGGGGACCCAAGTTCCATCCTTAGAACCCACGTAAAGGTGGAAAGAGAGAACCAGCTCCACAAAGCTGTCCTCTGCCCTGCACATGTGCTTTATAACATGTGCATGTCCCCTCCACACATATATCATGCCCCACACACCTTACACACAATAATAATAAAGCAAATTTAAATACTGCAGCAGGAAGCCCTCAACTATATACTAAAAATTCTCAACACAGTCTCTAAGACCAACACAGTTATTTGAGCTAAAGAGAGTCCACGTGAAGATAAACGATTGCTTCTGACTGGAAAAGCAGCATTCCTAGGCTTCCTTGCTCCTGGCAGATCTTTCTATGAATGTAAATTGACCAGCAGAGAAAAACTCACCACTTTCCCCATGGATTTCTTCTTACCACCTCAGTAATTACAGAAATAGTGTGAAGAGAAGCCTGTAAGATTTGAACGCTGTAGTTATCTAATGAGCACACAGGGAACTTTTCATCTAATGAGAGAAGACACATCTTCCTCCAGTGCACATAAAGTTAATTTTGAAATAGGATGGTCTTAAGATCTGTACATGGAAATTTAGCAACATACTTCTTAATAATTCCTTAATAACTCGTGGACTCTAAAGTGCATGTGTGAGAAACAAACCCGTGTGCCTGCAGCCTTGGTCACCTACTTTGCCTCTCAGTCTGGGGTCTCCACACAAGTAGCTCAGTGCTCCGGGCTTTGGTGAAACACCGCTGTGTGGTCTGGATATGGCTGCTTAGTAGATGCTGAAGGGCCGGAGAGTCCATTGTGGAGACATCATGAATGAGCTGCCTGGGGTCTCCCTGTTGACTGATGGGAGGTGGACTATGAAAGGCAGCTGAGAAAATACTTCCTTGTCCTTTCTCTCTCCTGCATTCAGCTCTGAGGGGAGGGCCTTCCTTGCCCAGTGAGTGAACCAGATGCCAGAGGAATCCCTCGACCTTGTGACTCCTGTGAAGTAAACAGCATGCAGCATAGAGCAGCCTTGGACAAAGGTTCTCGCCTCAATTCTTCCTCTGTCACCTTCTCTGTCTTGGATTTTTACTGTCCCAAAGTAGTAAGGTCATCATTGCTTCAGACTCCTGTGTTTTTTCCTGGGGTGGGGGGTGGGGGTTCTGTCAGTTGCTCAGAGTGGCCTGGAACTCGTGGAGTCCTCCTCAGTGCTGGGATCTTAGAGCTATGACCAGCCAGGCTCTACATTCTGAAGGAGCTGGGTTAAGACATTTTACAAATGATGATCAAACGATTACCCACAAAACCCTGAGGAGTACAACTAGGAAGAGACGTGCTTTATATTAAAGAAGACTAAAAAACACTTACTAAGCTAGACAATAATAAACTGACCAGGGAAGGATTAGTAGAATAAACTAAAAAAGAATAGAGTAAAGGACACAGAGAGTTCAAAGAAATAGTAAATGAAATGGAAGACAAAGATTATAAACCAATAAACCAAAACAATGATTCATTGAAAATATGAATTCTTTAGAAAACTTGTGATACAATGAAGAAAATTGACACAAATAAAACACTAGTAATGACAAGATCAAGAGAATCTAGAGTAAAGACCTTAATGCTAGGGATCAAATATTTGAGGTAAATTTTATTTGGGCGTATTTGGAGTTTTACTTTAACACTTTAACACTGACACAAGAAGGAGGAACAGTAACTTTGGGTCAAGACTTCTGCATTTGGCAGGATAATGGTAGTCATCCAAAGACAGGTGTCTACGGACACGCTCCTAAAGCTACCCAGGACAACATACACAACCAGGATTACTCTTCTGCCACACCAACATGGAAAAGCATTTGCATACAGAGGAGGAATGAATCTGCCCAAGGGGCAGAGTCACCTGACTAACCTTCTCTTCTGTGGGGGAGCCAGAGAGCTGAGAGCTGAGACTAGACCCATACAGTAACAGAGAACAAACAGCCTCCGCCAGTCAGCTGTGGAAGGGAACACTTGAAACCCTTGGGAGGGTTAGAAGTTCAAGGTTTTCTTTGGTTAGAAGTTCAAGGCCAGCCTGGGCTACATAAGGCACCATGTCAAAATAAATAGATGGCTGTGATAAATAAATAATCTCTGTCAGAATTACAGCATCAGAATGAGAGCCTTCTACCCTGGGTGGAGATATTGTGATAATAATCTTTGAATTAAGTTCTTATCTGAAGAAAGAGTGTGAGCCTTAAAGATCACAGGGAGACAATCCTTAGAGGTTTGGTAATAAAACAAAACATAACACCTTGGGATTATATGACCTTGGAAACACTGTCATAAAATCTAGAACATGCCATCTAAGGTGCTACCTACACACACACACACACACACACACACACACACACACACACACACACACACACACACACACACACACACGGGACAACCCTTCATTAAAGAAACTGAATTTCATTGAACCAACAGCAGAGGGCGCTGTTGAATTAAAAACACAGTTGTTTCGGCTGGAGCTCAGTTCTTGCCGGTAGACTTCATGAGAGATGAGGGAAGAGCGAGATATCAAACCACAAGTTCTCATGCTACCACACGGAAGCCTGCTTCTGAGAAAGCTCCCTTCGAGAGGGTGTGTCCGGGTACTGGCTTTGCATTTTATTTTATTTTATTTTATTTTACTTTTTCCCCCCGAGACAGGGTTTCTCTGAGTAGCCCCTGATGTCCTGGAACTAGCTCTGTGGATCAGGTTGCCCTCGATTTCACAGAGATCTGCCTGTCTCCCAAGTACTGGGATTAAAGGCGTGTGCCACCACGCTCTGCTGGGGCTTTGCCATTTTGACCTAGTGTGTGCCAGTTTCAGTGTTCTCTTCCGGCTAAGACTTGGAAGATCTGCCTCATTATTTGGGGATCTCCCTGTCCAGTTCCAATTCCATTTCACAGGTGTCAATCGGATCTGCATTGCCTTAAGGCTTTTCCTACCGGGTTCTGCTTTTCATAGGAGCCAACACCTTTCACTCCTAATTCCATCTCTTTCCCGGAGCAGTCACGGGTCTCCCATTGCCTTAAGGCTTTTCCTACCACATGGCAGCGCTACAGGAACCCCATGGATGAGACACGCCAAGTAGATATGCATGTGCAATGCAGCTATAGATCACACCCGTGCGTAGCTAATTGCCCCAGTGGAAAAGCTGAGCTCCTGAGAGGTAAACCTGGACATTAAAAATGACTGATAACCAACTACCCTTTGCACCATCCTGATTCATGCCTAACCCTGAGTCCTGCGGTTAGAGTGTCATGTGTAGCCGTATTTAACAAGCAAGATGTAACAAATAAACTAGGTACCAAGGCTGTCACTTCTGCTCCTAGCCCTCCTCCTCTACCACTCATTTTAGACTTCCCTTCTACCTACCCAGAGCTTCAGTGGGGCCCAGATGCTCGCTGGGTATGGAGTTTCATGGTTTTGCATCCAGAAACAGATCCCCAGGTGGTAGATGTGTTTCCATTTGTGATTACGCTGCCAGTCACGTGGCTGAGGTCTGTAAACAGAAGCAGAGCTTTCCTTTTTTGTCTTGACCACTCAGTCCCAAAGAAACCACAAACGTTTATATTCATTCCATAATGCTCAGCCTATAGCTCAGGCTTATTACTACCTAGTGCTTACAACTTAAATTAGCCCATTTCTATTAAACTTTATTTTGCCACATGCCTCTAGCATCTTCCTTTCCCAGAGGCTGCTTGAATCTCTCGTGACTCCTCCCTTCTTTCTCTGAATATTTTGAGTTTGGCTTTCCCAATTAGCCTTATCCTAATCAGCTTTATTATCAATCAATGAGAGCAATATATATTCACAGAGTACTGAAGGATTATCCCACAGCATTTCCCCCTTTCTGTCTAATCAAAAAAGGGAGTTTTTAAGTTTAACGTAGTAAAATTACATACAACAAAACAGTTATCAAGTAAGAATTACAATTATGGGAGCAGAAAGGGGATGGGATGGGGGTTCGTGGGGGCAAGGGAAGAGGGGAGGGAGAGGGAACTGGGATTGACATGTAAAACAAGATTGCCCACATGGCTAGTTTTTGCCATAAAGAAAATTAACTCTATATGGAGTTTATTTGATACCCATCACCTTATCTGGAGTATATTGGTGCTGCCAGGAGCAGATGTGTCGCATTGTCATGAAAAATCTGTTATTAAAACATTTTAAATAAGCCAGGCATCGGTGGCACACGCCTTTAATCCCAGCACTCGGCAGAGGCAGGCGGATCTCTGTGAGTTCGAGGCCAGCCTGGTCTATAGAGCGAGCTCCAGGACAGGCTCCAAAACAATACAGAGAAACCCTGTCTTGAAAAACCAAACAAAAACAAAAACATTTTAAATACCCTTTTCCCCATCCTTTCTATGTCATCTCCCCTTCTTTTAGAAAAAGATTGATGACCAATAATAATTTGTAATCAACCCTCCTTAAATTAAAACAAACATTAGTAAACAATATTTTGGGAATTTGGGCATAATGATGGGTGGGCGCTGGTGATCTTTGAGGGACTCTGAGAAAATTTAAAATTATGGTCGAGTCCTGATTGATGTAGTCTGTGAGGTTGGATCATCTTAGCCAGCAGCTTGGAGAAGCTCTAAATGTAGAATTCAGAGGAAACTGCAACAGAGATTCTCTGAAACATTGGATCATCTGGGCATCCATTTTTAATCAGAGATTTTTCAGGGGGTCTTCCTCAATCAAACCTGATTTGTTTTTTAACCCAGAATGAATCCACAGCCTCTCATTTCCTGTGGAAATAAAAGCAGGACCTCTTTCCCAAAGTAACATATCTTTAGACTTGAATAATGAGGTTAAGAAATTTTTTAAATATATAGGTTGGTTTAATATAGTAGCTTTCACAATCAACTGTTTCCCAGTAACTAGCTCATTAACAGTAAAAAAGTCCAAAGAAAACACAATGAAATGTAAACCCCAGACTCTCTGTGCATATCCCATTTTACATGGCTTACTATATTTTATTACTCTATTCCCTTTTAAAAGACTTTATTATCCTTACAGCATTTTTTAAAAATCTATGACTGTTTCTACCCTTTTTCTTCTCTCTCCTAAGCCCACACATTTTTTTAAACACCTGTCTAGAGGCCTTTGGTCTGAGTCTGTCCTTACTGTGTATCTCTAGCACTTTTTGTCCATATGAGCAAAAGTTCTAAACCCACCATGCAGTGCCAGTATGTGTCTGGGTGAGACTATGGGAATCCGCCATGTTGCAGCTCAAGCCCGCGTGCTGCTCCCAGGGTACAAATCTCTGTACTGAGACCGACATGAAAGACACAAACTGTGAAGCTTCTCTGGCTTCATTTTTGTGTGGTCAGAACCCTACCTTTAAAGCTTTTGCAGGCTTTATGTGGACATCCGTGCACCATGTTGGAGGGCCATATGGAAACAGAGGTGGAGCTTTTCTTTAGTTCTGATCACCCGGTCCCAAATAAACACGCAAAAGCTTATATGAGCTCCAGAACGCTCAGCTTATAGCTCAGGCTTATGACTAACCAGCTCCTACAACTTAAATTAACCCATTTCTATTCATCTGTATCTTGCCACGTGGTTTGTGGCTTTACCAGTCTTCCAGCGTCTTGCCTCCCTGGCGGCTGCTTGCGTTATCTCTCACCCCACCCCCTTCCTCTCTGTCTATTCAGTTTCACTTTCCTGCCTAGCCTTATTCTGCCTTGCTATAGGCCAAATCAGTCTTGTTATCAGTCAATGAGAGTAACACATATTCACAGAGTACAGAAGGGTTATCCCACAGCAGAGATCCTTTGCTGTTAACAGGATAACAGCAAAGTTGTGACAGCTGTTCTTAGTTATCAGCTTCACTACATCTGTAATTAATTAAAACCCAAATGAATGGACACACCTGTGAGGGATTTTTTTTCCTTAATTAAAACATTTGAAGTGGAAAAACCCATTTCTAATCTGGATCTTTGAGGTGGGAAGATAGGTTTATCTTCAATCTAGACAGGCGGTTCTCAAACTTCCTAATGGTGAAAACTTTAATACAGTTCCTCATGTTGTGGTGACCCCCCAACCATAAAATTATTTTCATTGCTACTTCATAACCATAATTTTGCTGCTGTTATTAATTGTAACATAAATACATGTGTTTTCTTTTTTTTTTTTTTTTTTTTTGGTTTTTCGAGACAGGGTTTCTCTGTGGCTTTGGAGGCTGTCTTGGAACTCGCTTGGTAGTCCAGGCTAGTCTCGAACTTACAGAGATCCGCCTGCCTCTGCCTCCCGAGTGCTGGGATTAAAGGCGTGTGCCACCAACGCCCGACAATACATGTGTTTTCTGATGGTCTCCAATAGGGATCCACAGATTGAGAACCACTGATTTAGATCTTTTGAAGTGGGAGGACGGACCCTTAATCTGGACCACACCTCCTGCTGAACGCCTATATAAGGGACATAGAAGAAGGACCCCCCCCACTCACTCTCACTGGCAAATCCATACCCTGCTTATTTGAGATTCCATCATATTCTGAAGATATCCTGCCTCATGTACTGAATGACTATGGCCTTTTGGACCTTCTGTGCATAGGTAGCCATTGTTGGATTAGCTGGACCACAGCCTGTAAATCATTCTAATAAATCCCCCTTTCTACGTATAGAGAGATTCATTCTGTAAATTCTGTTCCTCCAGAGAATGCTTACTAATACAAAGGTCATGGGGAGTCACAGAGAATGTCTCTAACTGCTGGTGCTCAGGAGATTGCATAGCCCTTGGCACTTGATGGCAGCCAGAGATGTGACAGACTGGCAGGTGGGAGCAGTGGTAGGGAGTGGCCTCTGACGGAATAGCACCTGTGCAGGTCTTGGGTCTCAGCTCACTTAACCCTGCCACAGCTCCTGTGTAAGCCTGGGGAGGAGCCTTTACAGTAGCTAGCACTACAGCCTGCCGTGGCCATATTCGTGGCTATGACCACATTCACGGATGACATCACTAGGAAAAGAGCCACCACTGTTCCTTCAGGCGCTGTTGCCACCTCTGCAGCTCTCACAGTCCTGACTTCTCTGCAGCTGTCAGTAAGGCCCTCTGGCCACACAGCTGCATTTCTAGATCTGCCTGCTGACCCATCAGTTCTGCCCCTGTCATTTGTCATCGCTATGGGGCTAGCTGGGGCTCCGTCTCTGCCACTTGTCGGGGTCGCCTGGTTCCTGAAGTTGCCCTGCTTCTGTGGCTTGCTTTCCTCTGCAGCCAGCAAAGCATCCAGATGTTGCACCACTTCCCCAGCTTGGTGTGTGGGCCACTCTGCTGTCACAGCAGGTGCCCTGTACTTAGGTCCACAAGCCTGCCACCTTAGTGCCCTGTGTCTCAGAAGAAATTAGAAAGCAGAAATTGGTAAAGCAAAGTGGATAGATCCACATGGTGTCTAGTGTGGTAGAATATTATTTTCAGCTGTGTTAATTTTCTTTGCGCTGCATGCGTATAACTCTGTGAAGTTGTGATTCTTTGCCTGCCTAAAACACCTGATGGTCCTAATAAGGAGCTGAGCATCCAATAGCGAGGCAGGAGCAAGGATAGGCAGAAGGAGAAACAAGGAAGAGGGCAACTTAGAGAACAAGGTGGGGAGGACATCAGGGCAGCCACCCAGGCAGCCAGCCATGGTGTAAGACAGAAAGTAAAATATACAGAAGTAAAAAGAGGAAAAAGCCTAGAGGCAAAAGGTAGATGGGATCATTTAAGTTAAGAAAAGCTGACAAAGACCTGGGAGCAGCATCAGAGCCCAGAAGCAGAATCAGCGGAAGGCTGGAGCTTCAGACCTAAGAGCTGTGTCAGAAGGAGGCCCAGGAGCAAGGAGGGATCACCCAGTGAAACAACAGCAGCGGTTTCCAGCAGTAGCTTCCAGAAACTATAGCAAAAAGTTCCTGTAGAAAGAGTACCTGTGTCCTAGCCAGCATCCACTGCCATTTCTCAGTGAGAGAAACCCCACAACTACATTGACAACAGGACCCTCAGCCCCACCTACACCTCCATCGGGAGGAGTGTCCACTGGAGCTGTCACCCCACCTGCACCTCAGTGAGTGACCACCTGAGCACTGGGTCCACATCCACCAGGAGGACCGTTCACCAGAAGCTCTGCTCTACTCGTGCCCGAAGGAGCAGTCAACGGAGCACAGCCGTTGAAGTACAGAGATGCATAGACAACAAGGTAAGAACACACTCAACAATACAAAGACCAGTATGGCACCACTAGAAACTAGTGGTTCTACAACAAGACCTGAACATCCAATGCAGATGAAGTAGAAGAAAACGACCTTAAAATAACTTTATGAGGATGATTGAGGCCCTTAAAGAGGAAATGAAAAATTCTCTTAAAGAAATGGAGGGAAAGGCAAACAAGAAATTGGAAGATATCAACAAACCCCTTAAAGAAAACCAAGAAAAAGCTATCAAGCAAGTGAAAAAAACAATTCAAGACATGAAATCTGAAATAGAGCCAGGCAATAAAAAAACACAAACTTGGGGAATTCTGGAAATGGAAGTCTGGATAAACAATCAGGAACCACAAATGCAAGCATAAACAACAGAATGCAAGAGATGGAAAAGAGAATTTCAGGCGTTGAAGATAATTTGGAGAAATAGATTCATTGGTCAAAGAAAATTTTAAATTGAACAAATCCTTAACACAAAACATGCAGGGAATCTGGGACACTATGAAAAGATGGAACTTAAGAATAATGGGGATAGAAGAAGGAAAAGAAGTCTAATTCAAAGGTACAGAAAATATATTCAACAAAATCACAGAAGAAAACTTCCCCAACCTAAAGAAGGACACACCTATGAAAATACTAGAGGCTTAACAGAACACCAAATAGACTGGACCCACCAAAAAAGTTCCCTTGCCACATAATAATCAAAACAATAAGCATACAAAATAAAGAATATTAAGAATTGAAAAGGAGAAAGGTCAGGTAACATATAAAGGCAGACCTTTCAGAATTCCCCCCGACTTCTCAATAGAAACAATGAAAGCCAGAAGGTCCTGGTCAGATGTTGTCTAGACACTAAGAGATCATTGATGCCAACCCAGACTACTTTATCCAGCAAAGCTTTCAATAACTATAGATGAAGAAAACAAAATATTTCATGATAAAACCAAATTTAAACAATACCTATCCACAAACCTAGCCCTACAGAAAGTACTGGAAGGAAAATGCCAACCCAAGTATATCACCTATATCCACAAGAACATAGGAAATAGGTGAGCTTACAGCAGCAAACCCAAAAGAAGGGAATTGAACACACATTGCCATCACCAACAACAAAATAAAAAAAAACAGGAACTAGCAACCACTGGCCATTGATATCTATTAATATAAATGGTCTCAATTCACCTATAAAAAGACACAGACTAACAGATTGGATATGAAAGCAGAATCCATCCTTCTGCTGCATATAAGAAACACACCTCGGGCTGGAGAGATGGCTCAGCCATTAAAGGCTAGGCTCACAACCAAAAATATAAGAAACACACCTCAAACTCACAGACAGACATTACCTCAGAGTAAAGGGTTAAGGAAATTTTTCCAATCAAACGGACCTAAGAAACAAGCTGGTGTAGCTATTCTAATATATAACAAAATAGACTTCAAACTAAAATCAATCTAAAAAGATAAAGAAGGTCATTTGAAATTCATCACAGGAAAAAATCCATCAAGAGAAAGTCTCAGTTCTGAACATCTATGCCCCAAACACAAGGGCTCCTGCATTTGTAAAAGAAATATTACTAAAGCTTATGTCACAAATCAAGCCCCACACACTAGTAGTGGGAGACTTCAACGCCCCAATCTCACCACTGGACAGATCTGCTAGACAGAAGCTTAACAGAGAAACAAGGGGACTAACAGAGGTTATGACTCAAATGGACTTAACAGACATTTATAGAACATACCACCCAAACACAAAAGAATATATTTTCTTTTCAGCACCTCACGGAACCTTCTCAAAAATAGACTACATACGCAGTAGCAAACCTCAACAGATACAAAAAAAATTGAATATATCCCTGTACCCTATCAGATCACCACAGCTTAAAGTTAGAATTCAACAGCAACATTAATTTCAGGAAACCCACAAACACATGGAAATTGAACAATGATCAACTGAACCACTACTGGGTCAAGAAAGAAATGAAAGACTTCCTAAAATTTAAAACACAATGGAAGCAGTGCTGAGAAGAAAGTTCATAGCACTAAATGCCCACATAAAGAAGCTGGGAAAATCCCACACTAGTGAATTAACAAAACAACTGAAAGCACTAGAACAAAAAGAAGCAAACTCACCCAGAAGGAATGGATGGCAAGAAATAGTCAAGGTGAGGGCTGAAATCAATAAAATGGAAACACAGAAAACAATGCAAAGAATCAATGAGACAAAGAGTTGGTTCTTTGAAACTTCTAGCAAAATAGACAAACCTTTATCCAAATTAACCAAAAGACAGAGAGAGAATGTATCTTAACAAAATCAGAAACAAAAAGGGGGACATAACAAACACTGAGGAAATCCAGGGAATATCAGGTCATACTTCAAAAACCTATACTCCACAAAATTGGAAAACTTTAAGGAGATGGACAATTTTCTAGA